GAGTACAAAGTACAAAGAAGTACAAAGTCGAGGCGTGTTTAAATTCAAAGTGAATGTATGCACTGGAACTACATTAAACAACAAAAACAAAAATGTCTGAATGTTTACTTTCACTGTATATTATAAATTCTTATAGTTAAGAAAATACACATTAACATCCTATTTGTTCCACTGTTAAATGAGTAAGAATATATACTAACACAATCGTGGCACTTTTTTGTTTAATTCTGTGCAATCAGTAACTGGACTAAAATATATCCCCCTTTGTTTGTTTGTCAATGAAGCTCAACAAGAATTCTTAATCTATTGTGTGCATTTGCAGACTGAGATAAAGAACACATACCTGTAGTTGGGAAAGGAGGCAGGTATGTGGTTTGTGTCTCCACTGATGACAGAGAGACAACAGAAAAGTTTGAGGAGCAAAGGGGACAATGAAATTGATACAGTGTAAAATTAGTTTGCATATTATTATTTTTTCTCCCTTAAGACTGCCTAAAACTCAACACCATTTGTTTTGTTATCAGCATTTCTGCTTAGAGAGTGTAGAAGTGTTGAAATCAGTCTTAACTCACCAGTTTTAACAAGTAATAGAATTTCTGTGTAAACATCAGGACGTAGAGTCCTCTGTATCCCACACCAGTATGTTCCTCCATCTTCTGCTCTCAGATCAGTGATGGTGATGGTGAAGACTCTGTCTGCTGTGTCGTCATCCAGAGAGAATCTCTGATCTTTAGCAGATCCAGACTGAGCACAGATATCTTTAGTTCCCCATACAGAAGAACACTGTCCTCTGCAGAACTACTTTATGTAGGTTTCATATCCGGAATCATAGGGGCATTTAATCTGAACTGAATGTCCTCTGTGTCCAGTTACAGTAGTTACAGCACTGATTCCAGCTGTAAAAGAAGAGATGTTGTGTTAGAGATTAATGAACATCTGAGGTCTGAGATGTTACCATCCAGTAGAGAGATATGAGATGAAAAGTAAGTGGAGATTCTCACTGAAAACCCCGTAAAATCTTTGTAAAAGCTGTTGGTCTAATAAGCCTGAGATTATGAATGACTACAAAAGTGACAAAGAAACATCTTACTGAGATAATATCAGCAGTGATTAAGACAAAGGAGAGAAGGATAAAATGTCCAGTTGCTTCTTTGGCACTGAACTAAACCACTGTTGTATGTTACTGAGTTTATAATATACAGTCTCAATTTAACAAAATTTAACAAAAAACTGAAAAATAAAACTCACCAGATGTGAAGATAATCAAGATGATGATGATCGAGATGAAGGTCATGTTTAAACTGAAATTAAACTCTCGTAGAGGTCAGTTTACACATGACAAACTGTCCTTACAAATGAAACTAAAGTATGAGTACAGTACGAGAGATTTCAGCAGTTCCTCATTTCAGAGAGATGTAAGAAGGGAAATTCCATCAATTTGTTAAAATTTTCTGCATAATTAAATGGTTAAGTGTGAAATAAAGTCATTCACAGTGGTGGTTCTAGAGAAACCTGCAGAGTCAGAATGTCCATGATGTCAAGGGCATCATTTCACCATCACTATCATTGTACAGACATTGTAGGATTTCCCTTTAAAGACCTAGCCCTGACATCTCTCTCTCTCTCTCTCTCTCTCTATCTCTCTCTCTCTCTCTCTCTCTCTCTCTCTCTCTCTCTGTCTCTCTCTCTCTCTGGTCAGATGTACTTGTTCATTAGCATGTGCATATTTCACCAACAGTTTTGTTATTAACCAGTTTCATCTTACGAGTATCTATATGATCAAACTCACATCTGGTAGAAAGTTTCACATCTGGTCAGAAAGTTTCACAACTGGATAAAAATGCTTTATTTGTGGTCAACTAGCCAAAACTATTATCACGATTATCTAGAATACTTTTTGTGCTGTTTTTGTTTTACGCAATCACATCATTCTAAAAAAAGAACATTTATTTTTACATTTTATTTGGTCAGTATGGGAGCAGTTCACTTACCTCTCAACCTCAAACTCTACCTACAAGTGTAGCCATTGGCTCACAAGCCACTAAATGCTGTTGTTCTGGCTCCTAACTGAAAGTGCATTTGATAAAGTGCATCAAATTAAAGTGAGGAGTCAAGCCGAGTTAGAAAGGTCAAACCTGTCAGGTCAGACTTGTCTGTTTGCACAGTTTATCCTGCACAAAAAACATGTTTGTATCAAGTATGATACAGTCCTAGAAATGTTTTTCTGTTCAAACTGGATATATAATTTCTTTTGCATTATATTATAGGTAGAGAAAGATGTGTGGTAAAGGTACAGAAGAATGCAAAATCTATCAGCATAGATAACGAAGCAAAAGCCATTCAGTTTAAATCTTCAGTTAAAACACAGATGGCAAAGATAATGTATATGTCTGTCTGTCTGCCCTGAAATGGACTGGTGACCTTTCCTGGGTGTATCCTGCCTTCCACCCAATGACTGCTGGTATAGGCTCCAGCTCCCCCCGCGAGCCAGAAGGATAAGCAGCTTAGAAGAATAAGAAGAAGACACATGGCACAGATCTCCATAGAGAGTGTCTCTGCCATGTGTCCGAAATGTAAAGTAGAGACAGATAGTCTATTCATTGTTTGTAATCATGTCATAGAATTAAACAATTCTAGGCTAAGATGTCACAGGAACTGTACAAGATTTTCAGAACTGCTGTAAGGGTGGACCCCTTGTGTTTATTGCTTGGGTTATAAAATGATCATATTGCTGACAAGCCTAGAAAACTCTGCAATGTTTTAAAATTGTTTTCAGAAAATGTGTTTTATTACATTGGATAACAGATAAATTACTCTAGCAAGTTGGCACAGATTTGTTTTTGAACATGTAAAACTAGACTACTTGACCTGTCTACTATGTACTTCCATAGTATTTGGGAAAATGTTCTGGTTTATATTGGGTCAGATCTCTCAAGTATTTTAATGAAAGTATTTGGATAATTCACTGTACCACTTTTCTAATATGGTAAAGCTCCAATCAGTATAGAAATCTGAATGTAACCTCCCCTTTTTATGTTGTGCATGTATGATGAATTTTTTAACATTTTCTGCATAATTAAATGGTTAAGATTGAAATAATAAATAATGTGTGTGTGTGGGGGGTGTATATGTGTGTGTGTGTGTGTGTGTGTGTGTTAATTTTAATTAATTAATTTTGAAAAATTAAGTTTTTAAACAGCAGAACCCAACTCCTGACATTAGAGGCGCCAGTGGGAACTTTGGAATCTTTGCCTTACGTTATTTCCCTCAGCAGAACTGTCACAGCATTAAAATGTGCCAACCTTTTATTTTATTTATTTATTTTTTGCTTTATAATTCTTAATTTGAGCTGTGAATACATGCTGTGACAGTTGTTATAAGCAATTTTACTGTTCATCAATATATATTATATGCAAAAATGTCATTTTGTTGCTTCTCATCTTTTGAGGGGTATTTTTTCATCACCTTCCCTTCTTGGCACCACTAGTGCACCTGAGGCTGTCCGGTGAGACATGACTAACTTCCTGAAAGACCTTGATGGCACAGCAGCTTGCATGGATAACATAATTGTATACTTCAGAATACTTTTGAAGTTCAATGAAGAGAAATATCTTTTAAGACAAACACAGCTCCAATTCCTGGTGCCACAGAACACCCTGAATTGAAACCAGTCTTGGACATGGTGCATGGTGCTTAAATTGCTTGTTACCCAGTCTGGCAGATGTGACACACCCACTTGACCTACTGATGGCAGATACATATGTGGGGCCCAGCACAAGAGCAGGCTTTTGCAAATGTCAAGGAAATGATATCTGAAGCACTTGACAGGTGCAAAGACCAGATATGCACAAATTGAAGGAGTGCTGGGCAGTGGTCTGGACATGTGTAAAGGTTGCAAAATATCTGTACAGCTTGGATGGTTTTACAGTCCAAATTGTATGAATGTAGCTTTCTCTGAAATTTCAAAACAAAACATCTGAAAATGTGTTCTATTAAGCTTACTGCAGTAGCTAGTAAGTAAACAGTGAAAAACAGGATTTTTCCTTCTATCACCCACTTGTTTTGATCTGATATGTGAAACCTCACGTGTTAACGATGTAAATGAGGAGACTTTCTCCTCATTTGTTGGGGTTTAGACTCTGGTAAACTGAATCTGATTGGTTGGTGTTGAGGTTTAGGCTCTGGTAGACTGAATCTGATTGACTGGTGTTGGGATTCATGCTTTGGTAGACTGAATCTGGTTGGCTGATTTGGGGATTCATGCACTGGTAGACTGAATCTGATTGGCTGGTTTTGGGATTTGTGCACTGGTAGACTGAATCTAATTGGATGCTGATGGGGTTCATGCTCTGGTAGACTGAATCAGACTGGCTGGTGCTGCGATCTAGTCTTTGCTGGACTGAATCTGGTTGGTTGGTTTTGGGGTTCATGATCTGGTAGACTGAATCTGTCTGGTCAGTATCTCGGTTTAGATTCCGATAGACTGAGTCTGATTGGCCAGTATTGGGATGTACATTCAGCTTGGCTAATTTTGACTTTTTTGTGTTTGGGTTTACACTCTGGTAGACTGGATCTGATTGGTTGCTGCTGCGTGTTACACTCTTAAAGAGTACATCAGATTGTTGGATGCTGGTATTAACACTCTGACAAACTGAGGCTGACTGGCTGGTGTTGGGGTTCCCACTCTGGTAGAGCGGATTGATTATTATGGAGTAGTCATTTTCAAGTGGATGGTTTTCATTGTTGGTTCTATCCTATATAAAGAAACACAATATAAATTCCAGAGCAGCGATGATAGTATCTTCAAAATAAAAGAGTCATGTGTCATTCACGACCTCTAGTCTTCTGGAATCCCTCTGTGGTATTATCGAGCTAGGAGCATCTGAAAAGGTAATAGGAAAAGCATTGGATTTTTTTTGTTTGTTTTTATTGGTTATGTTTAATGATATTTGTGTGTGTGTGTGTGTGTGTCTTTATGATCTGGTAATGTACTTATATTGTTCCATCGTGTGCAGAACAGCACTAGAACAATGAGACCGATTCCAGAGACCAGCAGTGAAACACACACATACAGAGTGATGAAACCTGGAAGCCAAGATTCAATTCAGTTAAACATTAATCACCTCTGCAGGGCACTTTGAAGGAATAAAAGCAAAAAAGACACCAAGGATATAAAATATTTGGAAAATAAAACATTTAATGTGGTTCAGTATCCTTTCTTTCAAGGAACAAAATAAAATAAAATAATATAACAATAAATAAAATGTAAAGAATAAAAAATCTCCATTTTTGTTGTTTTTTTTTTTATATTCTTGCATAATTATCATTTGCCTTGTGTTAAAATTCCATAGTAAACAAACCAACAGAAGTGGTCCAAAACAATGGGAAAAAATGGTGTTACATTAGCTGCCTAACATGTTAAGAATTTTGAAATTATTTTTTTTTCATTTTTTACAAAACATTTTGGATATACAGTCATAATGGGAGAATAAAATAGAAGAACAAAAAGAAAGAGAGAAAGAACTAGATTTAGATTGATTGTAGTAAGTATATACATATATATATACATATATATATATATATATATGTATATATATATATATATATATATATATATATATATATGTATAATGTAGTCTGCAAGAAACATATGTTAATTACATGCAAACAACATTAATTACATTACGTTCCAAATATCTATGAAATCCTAAAGCATTGCATAATTTTTTTCACTAGTCACTGCATCCTGTAAAATGGTGTTTCAGCACCAGAGCAGAAGAGATATCTGACACTCTAATTGTAGTTCTTTCTCTCTTTCTATATACAGTATAGACTATACATATATAGTCTTGAAGAAGCATATATTAATTACATGAACCTGTCAAAAACTGTCATGTATCACATTTCTGTTTGTAAATGTTTCTCTATTGTTTACATCTCATGTTGATACTCTTCAGAAGCAAAGATATAAAAAAGAAATAAAAGATATAAATATAAAATATACTTAAGATGAGATAGAGAGGAAAGAAATACTGTTTATATTATCTGAACTTTTTTGTACCTGAAGAAGGAGGCAGTTGTGTGGAATCCACTGAGGTACTAACAGAAATTGTTGGAGTAGGATGGGAGACATTACTGTCATCAGATGTTTCTGAAAGATGGAAAAAAAAACAGAAGTGTAATTAATTTATACTTTCTAGCCTAAATAAAAAATAACCTAGTTATGTAAATAAATCTGTTTTTTATTCTGAGTAAGATTCTCATAGTTTTCCTAGATTTTTTTATTTATCTGGTAGACTTTTCTGATACCTTTCAAAGCTACCAGAGCTGATGTGCATACACAGTGTCATCAAACACATGCTAGTAGTATCAACAAGCAAAATAATTTATTAAAATTACAATGAATACTATATACATGTGAAAACAACAGCTTGTAAGGGCCCAGTCTGTGCTGCCGGCTGCCAGCAGAGGGCGATGTTAGCGAGGTGCCACAGGAAACTTCAATTCCCAGAAGCCATCGGGCTAATTAGGCCCAACCTGGCACACCTGTGGACTCTTCAACTTAAGGCTGTGGCAAACAGCAGCTCTTTGTCACTCTTTTGTAGAGGAGTGACTGGTATGGTATTTAGCCCAGGTAGGTATTTAAATGAAGAAGAAAAAAAAAAACAAAAAAAAAGAAAACCAAAAAGAAAAGAGAAATTGCTCACAAAATATTTAAAAGCCAAAAAGAAGGCTTAAACAAGAAATGGTTCCAAGTCATACAAGTGTTTGCTCCACAAAGAGCAAACAGGCAAAATACAAAGCTGACCTTCCTCTCATAATCACAGAGGGAGTGTCTTTTGTTTTCTGATAGTTATTTCACTTTTTCTATCTCAGCCTTTGTTTGAGCACGCTGCTTTCAGCTTTTCAGCGTGTCTTTCCCATTTTTGCTTGTGCTTCCACAGGGGTAACTCCTCAGACTGCCAATCAGTACATCGGCAGTTCAAGCCTGGCTCTGAGCCACCTCAACCCCAACATGCAAAATCACTCGATTCACACTCCATCACCTCACTTAATTCTTTTAAGACCCTTTCTCATGGGCTTTTCTCTCTGCACTTGGGTCCACCTCTCTGCTGTCCTGTAACACAGCTCTTACTCTCTCTGTATATTTATTTAAGTGAGATTGTGAGTGTGGTTGAAACTAGCCCAAGTTCACTGAGGTATAGTCCTCTGTAGTTGCAGTTCCAGGATGGTTTTATGAGATTCAATGTGGAAACAGTCAGGAAACTAACAAACCAGAGAGGCTGATTTTCAGCTGACCTCAGATCAGATGTGGCTTGGCCATTAGACTTACTTGACCACTACGTTTTGCTCTGTAGAAAGCTACAAGTTCTGTATTTGGATATGACAGACAATAGATATGAACTAGCATATTGATCGCAAAGTGTCATATAATGGAAGTAAGAAATAATAATTAGGAAAGCCAAATTCCCACCGCTTTTATTCACAACTATAGCCATCCAGTTGGGTGCCACTTGCTTGCGACCCTCAGAATCTTCATTTTGTTGAAGTCACATTAACATCCTACTTCTTCAGCAGGCTGTGTAGGCTGAAGACTGCTCTCATTGATTGATTGATTGATTGATTGATTGATTGATTCATTCATTCATTTATTTATTAATTCATTTACTAATTAATTAATTAAATAATTTATCAATTATACTTCTACTGCCTATGTCTACTTCAGTTTTACACACAATGTCTCTTGACTTATGCCTATGCCTTCTTCATCAGAAACCAACATCAACAAGTTTAATTAATAACATGAATACTTTGTTTCAAAGCTGTTGTTGGCAGTTACAGCTTTTGAGAACTTTTATAGTGAGAAGTAATTAGCTTTTCAAAGTATCGTGGTTCAATTTTGGTCTATTCCTCTTGGTAAACCATCTTCAATTCCCCAAAGTTACAAAGGTCTCTCAGTTAGACTCGCAATTACAAAAACTCAAACTTTAGCCAGCAGATTAGCTATATAGGATCAGTGAGTCATGAGATTCCCTGTCAGTTTTGTTTTTAAACCCATCTTTGTAGTACGAAGTCAAGACACATTTAAATTTGAAGTGGATGAATGTTCTTGAAGTACAATAAAGAGCAAATGGTGTTCTGATATTTCCTCTAACTGTACATAAATAAACCTGCAATGCTTTTCTTCTAGTTAAGAACATTTTAATGTGAATTTTCTATTTGTTCCATTGTTAAATTAGTATACATTACTCATTTAACAATGCAACAAATAGAACATTTCTGGGGGGAAAAAAAAATCTGTGAAATCAGCAACACTAAATTATATCTACCTTTTGTTTCATTTATCAATGAAGCACAACTGGAAACCTTAATACATTGTGCACATTTACATACTGAGATAAAGAACACATACCTGTAGTTGAGAGAGGAGGCAGGCATGTGGTTTGTGTCTCCACTGTTGAAGGAGGAGAATATGTGAAGGACAACAGAAGAGTTTGAGGAGAACAGAGCACAATGAAAATGAGTGTAAAATTAGTTTGAATATGATAATTTTCTTTTTACTGGAGACACAATAAGAACACATTTAAACTCAACACCATTTATTAGTGTTCATTTTGTGGCAGCTGCCACTTGATAGAAGCTCGTTTATGCAGATTTCCATTCAAAAAAGTTAATGTTCAGTTCATGATGTTCTTAGTTTGAGTTGTGCATAAATTACTTTTAGCATTGCATATTTTGAAATGACACCTAAATAAACAGATTTAAACAAACTTATCATTAACCGCCTAATCCAGATAGGGTCACGGAGGCAGCTGGGAGAGCAGAGAATCCCAGATGACCCTGTCCACTGCAACTTCCTCCTGCTCATTTCAGGGGACCCCAAGCCACTCCCAGCCCAAATTGGAAATATAATCCCTTCAGCAGTTTCTAGGACAACCCTGGGGTCTCATCCCAGTAGGCCGTGCCTGGTACACCCCCACCGGGAGGCATTCAGGGGTCATCTGGATCAAGTGGCCGAACCACCTGTCTCCAGACTGGCTCCTCTCAATGCAGAGAAGTAGAGGCTATACTCCAAGCTCTTCCCAGATGACCAAGCTCCTCACCCTATCAAGTATAGTGTAGCCTACCACTCTGTGAAGACAACTCATTTCTGCCGCTTGTATTTGCGATCTCTTTCTTTTGGTCATCACCCACAGCTCATGACCATAGGTGAGAGTTGGGATGTAGACCGGTAAACAGAGAGCTTTGCCTTATGGCTCAGCTCCCTCTTCACCACTACAGTCCGGTAGTACTGCATTAGTGCTGCCGCCTGTCCCAGCCTGCGGCCGATCTCACGATCCCTCTTCCCATCACTCGTGAACACGATCCCAAAATACTCAAACTCCTCGACCTGAGGCAGGTCCTTTTACCCTTACCTGGAGTGGGCATGCCATCCATTTCTGGGCTAGGACCATGGATTCAGACTTGGAGGTGCTGATTCGCATACCAATCGCTTCACACTCAGCTGCAAACCACTCCAGTGAGCACTAGAGGCATCTATGTGATCCAGCCAAAAGAACATCATCTGCAAATAGCAGAGACGCCACCTTCCAGCCTCAACACATAATGCCCTCCTGACCTTGGCTATGCCGTCACACCCTGTCCATGAATATCATGAACAGGAGTTGAAGACAAGGCACAACCTTGACCGAGTCCAACGCTAACACTGAAAAAACCTGATTTAATGCATGAGTATACAAACACTCTCTCACTCTGAGAGTACAGAGGTTGAATGTCCCAGAGTATTAGCCCTGGCACCCCATACTACTGGAGGACCTTCCTCAGGATATCTGGAGGAACACGGTCATAAGCCTTCTCCAAGTTCACAAAACATATGTACACTGGGTTGGAAAACTCCCATGCCCCCTCACAGATTGTTGTGAAAAGATGGTCCATTGCTCCACGGCTAGGACAGAATCTGCATTGTTCATCCTCAATCTTAGGTTCATTATCGGTCTCCTTTCCAGCACTTTGGCATATACTTTCCCAGGAAGGCTGAACAGTGTGATACCCTGGTAGTTTGCCAACACGCTCTGGGCCCCTTTCTTAGAAATAGGGACCACCACCCCGGTCTGTCAGTCCAAGGGTACAGTTCCCCAGGTTCATGTAGTATTGCAGAGGTGTGTCAGCCATGACAGCCCCACAATATCCAGAGCCTTAAGCATTTCCAGACAATCTCATCCACCCCTGGTTCCTTGCCACTGAGGAGCTTGCTAACCACCACAGTGACCTCCACCAGGGAAATGGACATGCCAGAAGCCTCCACAATGGAGGTTTTGAACAGTGTCCATTCAGACTTCTTGTCCCTTACCTCCTCCGGAACATGAGAAAGCTCTTCTCTTCTGTAGGTGAGAGTTAAAATCATTCCAAATGGGGGCCTCTGACAGTCATATCCAGCACATCCTCACTATTCACTTGAACCTACTGGTTCTGACCATCAGTCTGCTCTGCTACGTGATCCAACTGACCACCATATGGTGATCGGTTGACAGTTCAGCACCTCTCTTCACTCGAGTGTGAAGAAACATATGGTTCCATAGCTCTGAAGATCCCTAGACCACAAAAGCCCTTCTGCCACGGCAAGGCCCTGATCCAGGAAGGGTTAAACAAACTAATTATGCTTCAAAGAAGATTTCATCATCTTCAGTTAGTTCTGTGAAAATATTGGTGGTGGTGGTGGTTTGCTTCTGCAGGACCTGGACGACTTATCATAATTAAGGGAACCGTGAATTCTGCTCTCTATCAAAAATCCTAAAGGAGAATATCCGCCTATCAGTTTGTGACCTAAAGCTCAAGTGCAGATGGGTTATGCAGCTGGATAATGATCTGAAGCACACAAGCAAGTCCACCTCTCAATGGCTCAAAACAAACAATATTGAGGTTTTGGAGTAGCCAAGTCAAAGTCCTGACTTGAGTCCCATTGAGATGCCGTGGCAAGACCTTAAACTCGTAGCTCATGCTCAAAAATCCTCTAATATACCTGAATTAGAACAACTCTGCAAAGAGGAGTGGGCAAAACCTCCATCACAGTGATGGTCTCATCACAAGTTATTGCAAACGTTTGATTGCAGTTGTTACTGTGAAGGATGGCACAACCGGTTATTAGGTTTAGGGGACAATTACTTTTTCACACAGGTGATGTATACATGTTTTGAATATATTTTATCTTCAATAAATGGATTGATAATTTTAAAAATGCATTCTGCTTTTAAGCGTGTTTTTATCTTATAAAATTAGTTTGATGATCTGAAACATTTAAATATGACAAATTAGCAACAATAGAAGTCGTCGGGTGAGGGGCAAATACTTTTTCACAGTACTGTAGGTGCAGTTGCAGGACTAAATAGAGTAACACGGTATTGAATATCACTGACAAGTTGATCATGTTTAGAACATTACTTTTTCTTGTTCCTTAAAATGTAAGTCCAATATAATAAAATATTGTGCACAGTTTCAGAGGTTTGGCCTTCAGACAGGGTGCTGGCACAGCATTATTGTGAAATAACTGGACTAGAAGATCCTTTTCCACTTCTTTTTTTCCCATGCCCTTTACATGAGAGCAATTTCTGTTTGCACTTCCTTCATCTCAGAGGGTTCATCCAAGAATGCATACATTATTGAGAAAAGCACTGTTTATCCTAAATTTAATGAACTGCTTTTGCTAAATTTTAGCACTGTGCTTCAAGAACTGATTAATATCAGAGATGACGAGTTATGCGATTCCCTGTTGATTTGTTTTTAAACCTTATTTTATTCTAATTAATGTCTTGAATTTGTACTTAAAAATGTTTAAAAATGATCTACATTACAAAACAAAAACAAGTGTCTGAATATTTACTCACTGTATTTAAATAAATTTGCCATGCCTTGCTTTTAGTTAAGAGGAATCATGTTAATTGTCTTTTTTGTTCCATTGTTCAATGGATAAAAATGTTTCCGTAAACAATTCTGACATGTATAAAAACGACTAAATTGTCTTGGTTTATCAATGAAGCACAACTGGAATTCTTAATCTATTGTGTGCATTTACAGACTGAGATAAAGAACACATACCTGTAGTTGAAGAGGAGGCGGATGTGTGGTTTGTGTCTCCACTGATAAAGGAGGATAATATGTGGAAGAGACAACAGAAGAGTTTGAGGAGAACAGAGGAAAATGGAAATGACGCAGTGTAAAATTAGTTTGAATATTGTTTTCTTCTTACTGGACAATTTTAAATGCATAATTGATTTTATCAGCATTTCTGCTTTGAGGGTGTAGAAGTGCTGAAATCAGTCTCACCGTGTTCAACAAGTAATAGAATCTCTGTGTAAACATCAGGAATTAGAAGAGACCTCTGTATCCCACACCAGTATGTTCCTGCATCCTCTTCTCTCAGATCAGTGATGGTGATGGTGAAGACTCTGGCTGCTGTGTCATCATCCAGAGAGAATCTCTGATCTTTAGCAGATCCAGACTGAACAGGAATGTCTTTAGTTCCCCAAGTAGAACATTCTCCTCTGCAGAGATACTTTATGTAGGTCTCATATCCAGAATCATAGGGGCATTTAATCTGAACTGACTGTCCTCTGTGTCCAGTTACAGTAGTTACAGCACTGATTCCAGCTGTAAAAAAAGGAGTTGTATTAGAGATTAATGAACGCCTGAGGTCTAACTTACGCAGCTGGTAAAGAGATACGAGATGAAAAGTAAGTGGAGATTCTCACTGAAAACCCTGTAAAATCTTTGTAAAAGCTTTTGGTTTAACAAGCCTGAGATTATGAATGACTGACTACAAAAACTACACAAACATCTTACTGAGATAATATCAGCAGTGATGAAGAAAACGAGAGGAGAAAATGTCCAGTTGCTTCTTTGGCACTGAACTAAACCACTGTTGTATGTTACTGAGTTTGTAACACATAATCTCAATTTAACAAAATTTAACACACAAACTGAAAAATAAAACTCACCAGATGAGAAGACGATCATGATGATTATGATAGTCATGTTTAAACTGAAATTAAACTCTCATACAGATTAGTTTACACATGACAAAGTGTCCTTACAAATGAAACAAAACTGAGTTTATCACAAGAGCTTTCAGGACTTCCTCATTTCACAGAAACCTAAAAAGGGAAATTCCATGAATTTTGTTAATTTTCTGCATAATTAAACACTTAAGATTGGAAAAGTCATTCAGAGTGGTGGTTCTAGAAAAAAACCTACCAAGTCAGAATGTTCATGATGTCAAAGGCATCATTTTGCCATCATTAACATTGTACAGACATTGTAGGATCGAGGGAATTTCCCTTTAAAGACCTAGACCTGACATATCTCTCTCTCTCTCTCTCTCTCTCTCTCTCTCTCTCTCTCTCTCTCTCTCTCTCTCTCTCTCTCTCTCTGGTCAGATGTACTCACAAATTAGTG